TATATATATATATATTAAATCGTTACTCTTATAAATACAAAATTGTTGGAATCTTTCATCGTCATTAATTTGGTTTAGGGGTGAACAAATGGACATGTTGAATTGAGTTAGGTTCAGCTATGCTTGATTTGTTACTAAATATTGACTTGATTAAATTTTTAGAGAATGATTCCAATAATTTACAAGTTGAATTGAAATTGAGTTCATTTAAAGTAACACTAAGTTTACCCAAAATGTCCGTAATATAAGTTATAACTTCTTTGTAATGTAATTTAGATTTCAATAATAATTATATTTCATTATACATTATACTATGTAAATTAAAAGATGGTTACTTATAATCTTCACAAAAGAAAATTAGTTTTGACGTTAGTGTGAAAAATATAAATTAAAGAAATTAATAAGTAGAATTTTTAAATAGAATACAAAAAAGAATGAAATACATTATGAAGATATAACAATAATGTTGAGTTAAGTTATTTTTTATCTTAACATTTTTCTGATTCTTGATCGTACCAATTTGTTTAGACTTTAACTTGTTCTTAGACTCGAATGAACCGATAATTTACATGTTAAAATAGGATAAATTAAGTTAGGCCACCAAGTTAGATTGGGTCTAGCTCATCCTTAATGCGATTAATTCAAGTAACTAATTTATATCATAATTAGTTTGATTATGCCAGCTAACTAAATTAATAACTTCTTATTTTTTTTCTTTTTCAAACATATATATGCATGAAATATCATGTATACTATATTAGTATGTACGTGAACATCTCATGTTTATACTCTATGCCATGTATTATTTTTTTTTAAGATTATTTTCTAAACTCAATCAAACAATCAAATATAGCAACTAACAAAGTGATTTGAAACTTATGTAATCAAAGAGGTTTGTATCAAGTATTAGTGTGGTGGAAATATTATCCCCAACATCATTATGAGGCATAATCACTTCAACAACCTATGGATTGGAATCCTTAAAACTTGGCCTAGTTTCTTAAATAACATTATTTGAAGAATTGGTGACAGGCCCTAGTTGCCTGGCCTAAGTGACCTATCTAGTCTAGTTACCCAACCAATACCACTTGAGGAGGATGAGGCAAAAGTTGTTGATTATGTCATGTTCAACAATGCATGAGACTAGAACAAACTCAACCAATACCTTCTGCTTGAAGCCTTGAGGTCTCTTTGTTATATCAAAAGATGATTTTGAAGACCTTAAGGTATCAATTTTTTTGTTGAAAAACTTGAACATTTTGCAAAGAAATTTTTTTCAAATCATACAAAATATTGCATGTTTATCTACACTTTTAAGGTTTTTGATACTATTTCATTGTTTCGAAAAAGTGTGGAGTTTTTTTTATTGATACTATTCAACCCCTTCTAGTGTATTTCTTTTCTCCACACTTTCCAAGCTTATGCAAGGGCTACTTATGAAGGAAAGGATGATGAAATGGATTGAAAAGGATCCTATGACAAATGTTTTTCTATTAAATCTGTGAAGAAAATATAGGCACTAAAAGGGAGGTTGAATAATGTATATAAAAAACTCTCACGTTTGCAAGTTAGTGAAGTAGTATCTATGACAGATGAAGCGTTGACAAGAGCAATCAATGAACACTATAAAATTTTATATTGATCCACCTCAATCACTGATGCTATGTCCAGTTCTCAACCCGACTAGATTGAGCTCAACTAACTTTCAACATTACAAGTATTCTTTCACCAAGCCACTTCTAGCTCAACACAAGTGTTATTTGACTGGCCTCTTCAAGCAACTACCTAAGTATTCTTTTTAAAGCCTCTCCAGGCTCAACTGCAACACCCCAGTTTTTATTTCATATTTTTATTTTATTTTAATTGAGGGTATTTTGGTAATTTTATAAATGTATAGGGGTAATTTAGTAGCTTGGAACAGACTGTTCTGGAATTGGAACGGGTCGTTCCAAACTACCAAAATGTATGTGAGTTAGTAGTCCAGAACGGGCCGTTCTCAAGTTGGAACGGGCCGTTCCGGACTATTAACATTGCCTTTAACTCTAAGTGGGAACGGGCTTGGAATGGGTCGTTTCCAAAATATGGCCGTTGTGAGTAATAAATGCACACCATAACGGGCCGTTCTGGTTTGAGAACGGACCGTTCTAGATGTGATTTTTACCCATGATTTAAGGGTCCAGAACGGGCCGTTCCGAATTTGGAACAGGCCGTTCCGACGAAGCCTGATGCAAAATTGAGCTCTTTGCCACTCCCAAAAAGCACACCTCTCATTTTTTGATTTCTTTTCTTCTACTCTCTCTTCTTTTCCTCTACTTTCTGCTTCAGACTGAGGGGAACCCAGCGAGGGAGATCAACCAGATCTTGTGTACGTTCAGCTTCTACATATCCAGGTACGGGGGAAAAGGGAATTATTTGTATGTAGAGTTACATGAGGGAATTGGGTAGAGGAAGAGTCCCTTAGTATTACGAGTAATTTTATAATTATTTATGTTTGGAGAATTATTGGTCTTATGTGATTTTGTATATATTTAGGACTACGAATATATGATTAATTTTTAAAAATGTTGATCTGAGAGGGAGAACGAAACTGTAAAAAAGAATAAGGATAAATACATTTTTTAAATTTTATATGTTTGATTTAAGGTAAATAAATATATTAAATTAATTAATAATTTATTTAAAATATTAAAATTTAATTTATAAGTATGTAATAAATAAATATTTATAATTTTATAAATTATATTATCATTATAAATTATAAAATTAAATAATTTAAATTATAATTTTAAATAAAAATAAGTAGATGTTAATTATAAAAGTAAGTACATATAAATAAAGAATAAATAAATATATTATTATTATTATTATTATTATTATT